GAAATAAATATATGTGTATATAAAAAATATATATTTTTTAAAATATTAAATTCTAAATTCCTTTTAAAAATAAAAAAAACTTTCTTTTCTTCACTATATGAAGGATAAAACTCTATTTCTATTTTAATTAATTCAATACCATTCGTATAAGTTCGTTTTCCTTGAGAGAGAGAGAGAGATAGAAACAGATATACGAAATGTGTCCAGAATTAATTTGTAATATTTAAATACAAATATTGCAAAGTTTATTGAAATAAATTTTTATAATTTCGAATTGGTATTTCAAGTTCCGGGCTTTGATTGATGTTCCGAAATATCATAAATTTGCAACTTGGATTTGTATATATAAATTAAATACGAAATCGGAATATACTTAAGAACTAGCAGCTCTCAGAAATGCTTTTAGCAGAAACTTGTATTGAGTATGTTGCTTAATTGTTTTTGGAATTCCGTTAAAAGGGATTTTATTTATTACTTAATCGCTTTGTGGTTTTGTAAATCAAGTGTCATAAGCGAGCTGCATATTCATAAAGTGCGACATTCCTCAATTGTCAATTGGCCAATTGTTAGTTGAGAGGGCGATTGCTAACTGGGCTGGGTCTATGTAGAGCTCTTACACTGGGGGACTGGGCACGTAGGTAACGATCGGCCCTAGCCAGATAGTGTCAGACGGTGTCGTAGTGTTCGATAGACGCGATAATTTATGACGCTATTTGGTTAATTGAATAATTGCATGTGACTGGCTGGCGTTTGGGCGTGTGTGTTTATTGGTTTATTGTAAATCGGTTTATTTATGGATTTGCCAACGCCTCGAGAGAGAGAGAGAGAGAGAGAGAGAGAGAGAGAGAGAGAGGGAGAGATCAAAGCCCCAACTGTCTCTCGATTAGCATTGCATAAGCCAGCTAGCCCAGCCAGCCCCGCTCCGCTCAGCTCCGACATCGGGCCATGGGCCATGCTCCACATTTTGTCGACTCACTGAATCGATGGCCCTATCGTATTACCCCGATATTTGCGATGCTAATCGCTGTACGCCTTTGACATTTATTAAGTGCTCTTTCATTTATAACTGTCATTATGCATAAAGAGAGACGGACAGAGACGCAGAGACAGAACGAGAGCGAGAGAGAGAGCGCGAGAGAATTTGTTTGCTGGCTTTGATTATTTGGCCAACAGAGATAGAGAGAGGGAGAAAAAATACGCACACATTTTTAGAAACTTGTTGGCTTAGGTGTGAAATTGATAGCCACAAATGAAGCTGACGCGTAGAAGAAGAAGGAGGAGGAGAAGCAGGAGGAGGAGGAGGTGGAGGAGGAGGCGGCAGCGACGTGAGGTGCTGGGAGGTAGGAAACTCCGCAAACCTGATAACAAACTAAGCAGCAACAACAAGTGGCAAGCGGCAACAACGAAGGTCTTCCACTTTCTGAAATTCGACAAAAACAACAACAACAACAGCCACGAAAACTAAAAAAAAGAAACAACAACAAAATTGTGAAGCGGGTTTCTCGCTCTGAATTGTGGCTCGAATTGTTGATGTGGCTCAGGCAAATCACAAGGCGATGCGATGCTATGCGATGCGATGTGGTGCGATGTGGTGCGGCTACTGCGAGTTACTCCGCTGCTGCGGCTGCTGCTGCCTCTGATAACAACAAGCCAGCAATGCGGCAATAATTTGCTGCAGCTGTAAGTGGCTACTGGTCATCAGCAACAGCAGCAGCAGCGGCAACAGCAGCAGCAGCGGCAGCAGCAGCAGCAGCAGCAGTAACTGGCTTAGGCCAGTCCAACATTTTATCAAAAGTGGAGGCATTAGCTGCCCCACACGCAAACTGGTCACACTGCACACACACACACACACACACCTGCTCACACATGCACACCTGTGACGAGCTAGAGAGACAGGCGCACAGCGGCAACAGCTTCCAATAGTTTCACTTATTTTTACACACATTTTCTTAACGATAAAATAAATTCCACAAGCAGATGCGGCTACCGCAGCCAACCAAGCCGAAACTGGCCTGCACCAACACCGACAACAGCAACAACAGCAACACCAGCAACAACAACAACAACAACAACTTTTGCTATCACGTTTCCATGCAATGCAAAAAAACAAAATAAGATTTTTGCAAGTTGCATGCCGCATGTACTTGAATTAAGCAAGCCTCGCCTGGCTTAGGGCTGAGCAGGCGCGGGTGTTGCCAGTGCGATTTCATTTATTGCTCCACATCTATATATAAATTGTATGTATGCATGTGTCACACAAGTGAACTGGCACTAGTTCCGGTTGAAAGTGCTGAGAAAATGGTCGAGTTCGACTGGAAATTGTGGGGCAGTGCATAAGGTGGCAACGCTACAGCAGCTTTTTATTTATCTTTGATAAAAATTCTCTCAGAGCGATTTAACTAAATTATACTACATGATAAACATAATATATACATAATATTTACTATATCATATTATTATCCATATAATTATTCAAAAAGTCGTATATGGAAAAATATTCCACAAAATTATTTCTTAAAGGACTACAGAATCGTTTAAGATATAAGGTGGCAACGCTCAAGCAATTATTATATTCTGTATATGTTTGCATATGTATGCATGAGGGTACAGCACTGTATTATTTCATTTTAGCTATTCATATATAAAATATACATATCTCATCGATTGATAAACTAAATGGTGATAATTCCCTTTAAAAGTATCGAAAAACACTTCAGTTTTAACGCACACATACATATGTATATCCCAGAATCATAGACCAAAGTATATGATACAAATGACATAAAGTGGCAACGCTGCCCCACAATTGGGTCACAATTGATAGGGACTAGTGCGAAAAGTGTTGTGAAACTCTTGAAGTGCTGTGAAACGTATCTCTGACAAGTGATTCACTTGCTGATTCACTCGGCTCGACAAGTCAAGTCATATCTGCTGTATTTCAACGACCTTCTGCATATAAGTAAATAGCACTGCTAATTAATGCAAAATTTACACACACGATAAACCTAAACTTAGATATAAGAATCGAATAGAATTTCGACTGAGTGAAGGTCGTTTGCCTCTAAGACATTTAGTTCCTCAAAAGCGTGATCTTTTAGCATCAAAACTTTCAAAGTTGAATTTGTGAACAAGTCGATATCTAGTTTTTTATAGAGAATATACGCATATGTATAAATAGTATAATGGATTTTCCATTTCTTAGTTACTCGGATTTATTATTAGAGAATTTCCCATATAAGTCGCCTTTGTTATTCGTGTCATAACATAACAACTCAGATATCAATTGTTTGTATGTAACTATGTAACTATGTTTCATAGAAATTAAGAGTCGTCTTCTTAAAATAACTATCATACTTGTATTTAAACTGAGACTCGGAATGTGGGATTGAGTAACTCGATATTTGATAAGTTCTTTTAAAAAAATTTGTTTAAAGAAGTTTCTAGATATCTATGATTAAGTGCAACGATCTCTGTGTTATTAGACGTTAGATTATACAAATGCCGTCAAAGAACTTTTTCGACAGTCTGTCCCACTGGAGGTTCTATAAGATTTATGACAACTTTTAGCATTACCAGCAGCCAAGTTATCATTTTATCATTATATAAAGTAGATCCTCATTCTCTCATAATTTGATATCTTAGAACTCATTCCTAACTTAATCGATTTTTAATTGATAATATATAATTAATTTCCATATACATATCTATATATTCTAATCTTAATCAAACTTCCGTAATTTTCCGCTCCCTTCTATAGATTATTGATTTGCTAGTTACCAGGTCATATAATGCACGCTAATCACACAGTTACAGTTACTATCTAAAATTGTGGCTGCACTAACGGTGCCAATGTTCTTCTTCATCATCATTATCGTCATCATCATCATCTTCTACTTAGCTAATAGCAGCTCAGATTCCAAACCTCAACCTCAAGCCAATGTGGCTGTAGCAAGCGAATGGCCTTCGAGTGTTTCACTCGCGCTCGCGTTCGTTTTCCTGTCGCCTGTCGATTATCATACTTATATATACATATATATTATA